AGTCTACCCTGTTTGCACGAATTTAAATTAAATCGTATCGCAGTTCAATCTTCAAAAAAATATTAATCAGGCATGGATTAAGCCGGAGATGGATCCACTTATTGAAAAAAATGCTCGATATTGATTCCAAAAATTTAGTTCTGGCAATTTAAGTATCGTTTGTCAATGAGCCTCGAGGAAGACCACCGGCCCATATTAATAACGAGGAATTAGGAGGACGACTGTGGAATCCGATCCTCACACAACTAGTCGCAAACTTGGCACTAAACTAGGAACTAATCATACAGCTGTGTTCAAACATTTTTGTGCAATAAATAAAGTCAAAAATATTCGAATCATATGTGTGTAATAAGCAATGTGAAAAATTGCGTTCTTCGTTCATCGTATTTTCATTCAACGCCCGTTGCGTAGTTGCTAACCCAATATATTGCAAAAAACAAGTGAAGACATTATAGTCGGGCAAGGCCGACCACCACTGTGTCTAACATAATTCTTATTAGAAAACAAAAATGCGATCCTGTTTTTATATGCACTGACTATTATCGAACTATATATTAAAAATTAGATCTCTTTGCATATAAATGCTTACTTTCCGTAACAACATGGTTGTGGCCAAGAGATACAAGCACTATTTTCATCATAAAATATTAAAACTAAAATTTTTATGCCCTAAAAAACAATTTAAAAATTTTCGTGGAAATCCTTATATAGGATAAGATTCAACAATGAGCGCATGTCGTTCAAATTTTGGAGAGTTAATTTTTTATATTAAATTATTATTAGAGGACAAAAATTTTCGGAAAAATCCTTATATAGTATAAGATCCAAAAATAGATGTGGCTTGTTCAATTTTGGTATAGTGAATTTTTTTTTTTTTATCTAAATTACTATTACGGGCTCAGTTTCCTCATAACATATTTAAAATTTAGACTTTGCTGCCCTATCAAGGATCGTTTTTCGTGAAAATCCTGATCTAGAGTACGAATCAAAATATAGGCCGACATGGTTCAAATTTCGTACAGTTTATTGTTTTATATTAAATTATTAAGATGATTTAATTTTCCGCATTCGTAAATCTGTTAAAAAAGGTCATTATCGTAGGTCGTCAAAGAAATTTGAAACAATATAACTCCGTGAAATGATCAAATTTTGTAAAATAGATATTTGCTAATATCGTAAGTTTTTTGCTACAGCAACCGGTGTCCGCAGTACTATATTCGTAGAAAAACATTTTATATTTGGAAGAATTAGGGCCGCCACAGTATCTATTATACGAAACGAATGTTACGAAAGGTAAAGTAAAAAAGAAA